ACTCCCTTGGAGAATGCACCTACCCAGCAAATGTTGGCTGGCCTGGAAAGGGAAGGATGTAAGCAGAACAACTTTCAAGATACCATCAAAGCTGAGAAAAGGGATAGAGAGGTGTGCATTGGGGGGAGGGGGTGCCCTACCTACTACACTGACCTCACCCACAGGGATAAATGGAGGCACTTTCCTGAAATACTTCCTTTCTTGCCGTGCTTGATGCTTTTTACCACTCACTCCCACCACTACCCCCAACAGGTGGCATACATCCATGGTTAGGAAAGAGAAAGCTAGGGATGCAGGCTATCAGAAAAGGCCCTTGTGTTTGAGCTACCTGGGAAAGTAAATAGGTAAACACTGGGCTGCCTGGGAGGGCCACTTCTCCTGGAGTGGGGCCACTTAGCCTGTGCACATTCACCTCCCCCCTTTTAGGCCTCCAGGCGATTATTAGCTCCCTCAGCTCCCTCACTCATTCAGTGCCATGGAATTGATTCTAACCCATATCTACCCCATAGGACAGAGTAGAACTGCTCTTGTGGGTTTCCAAGGTTACAAATCTTTATGGGAGTAGAACGCCTCATCTTTTTCAGCACCCTTTGAGTTTCAATCATCCCTAGAACCCAATATAGGAAAAGAGATCTTTGTCCTTTCTCTCCTGGGGCCTGCAGCTTCCCATCCTTAACCTGGGTGGGAGGGGGGAGGGGAGCTAGGAGGAGATAGAATTAAAGAGATGTGTAAGAGACCAGCAGCACTAATGCTGGGAATAAAGAGGGGCTTGGGAACCAGCTGCTCAAGTGACTCACACAAACATGTATGGTGTTGAGAACACCAAAAAGATGCCATTCAGATCTCTAGCCTAAAGCATACTGGGCCCAAAACTTGCAGCACCACTTCAGTAAGGCCCCAATAATTTGTGAGAGAAGAAGTCACGTAGTGACCAGGAGCTCTCGGACACTGGCAACACATCCCAAAGCCCACCTGGGGCTGAGTCGATGGGATGGAGGATACTGCTTTTTCCGGGCTGCAAGATGGGACCTGGAAAGACTTACTGAAGAATCCCAACCAGGAGAGACTAGACTAAAACAAGGAGAGTTAAAACTGTGCCCATGGGTACTGATATGTTCTTCGACCTCACAACACAGTGTGTGACTTTAGGAGAAGATTCTCAGGAGGGGCCCAAAGCAGGGGGGGCTGCGTCTTTTTAGTCTGCTGGGTGTGTTTCATAAAGCAGACCAAGGGCTCCCTCGTTGGCCTGTAGCACTCACAGGGAGGCCTTCCTGTGCAACGACCCGTTTAATTGTGGTGGAAAATGTGCGGTTGGTGCCTGCCTTTGCTCTTCTGGCAGCAAACCGGCTATGGACGATCAGTGCTACCCTCAAGTATGTTCTGTGTACGGAACTTGCTCTCCTCACCAGCAAGGCCCACACTGGCTTCTTGGCATCCTCAGACTTTTCCTGCTGCCTGGGAGAGGGGGGAGTGGGGGGGATGAGTTGCCGCTTACATTTTATGATCTTCCTCTAACTAGACCAGTTTCTCCCCTTCAATTACCGCTTCTCTGTGGTCTCCCAGATTCTTTTCAATTGCAAATGTCAGTGCACAGGAAGCAAATGCTGGAGCCTCTAAGGCTTGGAAGGGAAGGGGAAGGTGGACTCTCCAGATCCCAGGAGACACACTGAACTCAGCTTGGTCATGCCCACACTCTCCAGTTCCCACCCTGCCCAGCTGCCCCCCAGGCCAGGGCAAGAAAATCTACAGTTTAAGCAAGAATGGTGCAGGAAAGGTGGAGCCCCAGGCAGTGACCTGAGTGGGCAAGGGAAGTGTAACCTCAAAAGTGCTCAGAAGAGGAAGGATTCCATCAGGTTAAGACTAAGAGGTAGCTCGCCCCAGCTTCCCCTTCCAGCTCTGCCTTTGTGGATTGGGCTGGTACCTCTTTGATGGCCTTTGTCAGCAAACCCTTCCCAATAATTAATTCCCAGGAGAAGCCTGATTCTGTAGGAACGCATCAAGGTGCACTAAGCACCTTGCGGGCAAAGGGAGCAGACAGGATCCATGGTGGTATCGTTGATGAGATTTCAAGGAGAAAAGCCCACACACTTGGAGAAGGGGACACGTTTGGCAGCTAACTGGAACTGGTGGCTCCAAGCTAAGGAAAAAAAGACTTTCTAGAAAGTGACACACACACACATACACACACACACACACAAAATATGGTTCTGAGTATATGGGAAAGGGAATAGCTATTGCCAGAGGACCCATTTCCCACCAGACTCCTAAATCGGCCTGTCTTATCAAGAGTATTCCAGCGCCATCGCTTGAGCCCTGCTCCTCAATAGAGCCTCACCCTCTGTGAGGTGGGGGGTAGGGGGTGGGGATAAAAGAAAGGACTGAAAAGTGGGTCTTTTCTGCAATGCTTACATGGAAGAACTTTACTCCCCCGATATTTATTTAGCAGTTGGGTAACAATAGCCCGAGGAGGCTCACCCCAACTCATGCCTAAGGCAAAATCCGAGCCTCCTCTTTTCTGAAGCACCAATTTCCCCTCTCAGAGCTCCTACGTGAAAGGGGAGGTAGAGGCAGCCAGGGAGGCTGAGAAAGAGACCGGAATGGGGCTGGGGGGAGGGGGAGAGCCTGGAAAAGTAATGGGTTCCCGCAGCAAGATTCAAACCAGTTTCTAATTCTCGTAGAGAAAGGGGAGAAAAGCGAAGGTAAGAGGGAAAAGGGAGGAATCGGGGAGCATCTACATGAAGGGTTTCCTTAATATTGTGAACGGATTCAGAAATGAATGAAGAGATAGTCCATTGAAAAGGGTTGAATGCCATGACAACTAGGAACAACCTTAGATTTATTCCAAACAGTTAGGACACATTGAAAGAGAGCGTCAATCATGTATTATTTCGCCACTGAAATAAATGCAAAAACCGAGCTCGGACAAAAGCTTCCAACGGGAGCGGGACATTTGTCTACATTTCGCTCATTGTCCGCAGCTTAGCAATCGGTTTGTATTTGTGTTTGCCCGGGTCCGACCACCCAGGACGCGCCGCCGAGGGGCTCGCTCTAACCTGGGCCATTGTCACCCACGTCACATACTGGGGACGAGGCTGCGAGGGCTGTAGAAAGCGGCCGAGCGGCTCGGGGAGAGGCGCCCTTGTCCGGCGCCGGCAGCCTGTGGGCGGCCATGGCCGCAGCTGCTCTAGAGGAGGTGTGGGCGCCCGCGCGAACCCCTCGCGGAGCGCTCGAGCTGTCGGACCGGGCGGAGGAGGGGGTCACCCCGACTGTCCAGGCGACCTCCTCTGCCCTTCCCGTGTCCAGCGGAAGCTTCTTTCTGACTGTGGACCAGCATCCAACAGCAACTGCGGGCCCTATCACTGAAAGCTGGGGACAGAGGGGGTGGGGGGCGCGCATTGGTCCTCCCTGATCCCCACAGAAGGCTCTCCTCTGAAATGTTCGCTCCCCAGCCTGGGAGAGGTTGAGCACAAATCTTACCCAGGTTGGGAACTTGGAGCGCTTCCTCGGGACGCACCCCCGAAACGGCCAAAGGAGCCGAAATGCAAGCCCTTGCGAGAGGGGAAAGCTCTGCAGAACTGGCAGGCGGACGCGTTCCCCTCGGGTCTCCTCCCCCGCAACTTTCGGGTTCCTCACCCCAGCTGAAGACACAACGCCCTGAAACTCCTCCCCTTTCCCTTCCCGCCGCTCCCCGAAGAGCTGGCACACCCGGGCGGGAGAATAGAGGGCAGGCCAGGGTCCGCGGCGCCG